CGAAAAGATAGATGACTTTGACAAAAGTGCCATTAGAAGAAAAGTACATCACTTTTTCTTCAGGAATGAAATACCTACAATAGATAAAATATTGAAGCAAGTGAATGATGATGAGGACCTGCCAAATTTTAAAAGATCTACGTTCCATAAGCTGTTGAAAGAACTAGATTTTCGATTTTTGAAAAGAGGAAGGAATAGCTTATTGATAGAAGAGGAGGAAATTGTTATCTGGAGCAGAGAATACCTTAGAAAAATTAGGCAATTCCGCGCTGAAGGAAGAAAAATTTATTATTTAGACGAAACATGGGTGAACGCGGGGCATACGCAGGGAAAGGTTTGGGTAGACAGATCTGTGAGGTCCTCAAGGCAGGCTTTTTTAGATGGCCTTTCGACGGGATTGAAAAATCCTGCAGGTAAGTTTCGAAGTATATGAACTTTTTTGGATGCAGATAATTCATTTTCTGATCGAATCAATGATTTGGAAGCTCCGAACTCAGTTTTGCTATCTCATCCAAGTTTCTGAGTATTTCCTTCACCCAAAAACTAATCTAAGACCCTATCCTACACTAACTTAAAAAGAGTAAGTTGCTTAATTTCGTCATTTAGTGCGCTCGCTGAGAAGTAAAATAACTAATTACTTTCAGGCAAGGGAAAACGCCTGATCATTTGCCACATAGGTAACGTAGATGGATTTGTTCCTGAAGCATTGTGGGCATTTTAATCCAAAAAAACTTGAGACTATCACGAAGAAATGGATGGTAACTCATTTGAAAATTGGTTCAAAAAAATTTTGCCGACACTTGATGATAACGCAATTATTGTGATGGATAATGCCCCGTACCACTCCAGAAAATTGGAAAAAATTCCAACAATGGCCACCAAAAAGGCAGACATTCAACAGTGGCTTGTCTCAAAGAAGATCGACTTCGACCAAACAATGGTCAAAGCTGAGCTGATAAATATATGCAAGCGACATAAGTATAAATATGATTCAAAAATTGTTGACGAAATGGCCAAAAACCAAAATAAAACGATTCTCAGGCTGCCTCCCTATCACTGCGAACTGAATCCTATCGAGTTGATTTGGGCCGACATCAAGCAATACGTGGCGTCAAATAACAGCACTTTTAAGTTTTCTGACCTTAAAAAACTTTTTGATGTTGCTGTCGATAGAATTACGCCAGCAAAATGGAGAACATGTATTGACCATGTCCAAGAGAAGGTTGAAACCAAAATGTGGGATATGGACAATATCATTGACACCCAAGTTGAACACCTTATAATTTACATCAACAATTCTGATGATTCAAGCTCCTCGGAATACAGCATATAAATCGATTGATACCATTAAGACTGGCAGTTTAACGGGCTTTTTGGCAAGACAGGTAAGTTCATTATAGACTGCAATCAAAGTGTAAGTTTCTAGTTATTAATGTGGAAATTCCAAATTTATAATTACACAAAATTAGGGTTAATTTAGGAGTTCCAAAGCATAATAGTGCCATTTTGACCTTCTTCCTATTTCTCATGTAAATTTTAATAGCAATCAAACTAACAAACTTTATGGAGTCTGTAATAAACTTTTGTACTACTACTACTACGTCTGTAGTTTCTATTTGCTCAAAAAAATTTGCTCTGCATTGTGAATAGAAGGTTGATTTGTAAATATTATTGGATATATATGTAAGTTAATAATAAAATATGAACAATTTCAATTGAGATGGTCCACAAGTTTTTTTCGTGTGCGTTTTAGTAACATTTTGCTGAAATGGTGAATACAGAATTTTTTGCACTGATTCCTAATGTCGAAATATGATTAGAAAGGCGTGGTATATTCCTGATAATTTACTATGCTTTTGATAGAATTTACAGCAACACATATCTTGTATGACATTTTTTGATAGATCAGTCACAATAGCTTGATACGGCACTGTAGCGTCTCCTACGGTTAAGTTCTTGATTACGTGCAATACGGGTGTATATGTTTGATTTTACTTTGTTTCTTCGATGGATACAGTTTAGAAGACATCTTTTATATTTCTTACATCAATTACTTCATTTAAACGTGAAGTCGAACTTGACAAGATTAACCAAACCAAATAATTGACCATCGAAGTTAGCTATTGATCTATTCTAAAGTCTACACTCGATCTAAGCAAGTTAGCGAACTCCAACTTCTGCTTTGGCTGTACGTAACTTGAAGCGTGTTTGGATACTGGAAGGTATTACAAACTTCAAAGCATGACCCGTTTATAAGCTACTATTCATATTAACTAGTATTCAGAGGTAGCCCCATGACAAAACATTTGTTCACTGTGAAACTGTACATACTTGTTTCTCATTTTGAGCCAAGTTAATAAACAATTTATCGTTCGCAATGTGATCGGACCTTGATTAAATTTTGTAAAGCAATCACTGAATGTACACAGTTTCACACATTCTGAACAACAGAGGTCCTTGGCAGATTTACAATAGAGTTGGTGGTTTTCAAGCTGAAACACTCGCAATGTTTAAAGGTAAACCATTATGAAAAGATCGAACTATTCATTTTAAAAGGAAACTCTGAGAGACAACAAAAAAGTTGAAGAAAAATGTATATCAAAGCGATGTAATATGTAGAGGATAATAATTTTTTAGGGATATTTGATAGGAACTCAATATGATTTCTTCCTCTCGCGCGTATCCAATTGGATAATTTCTTTTTCCAACTATACAGGGTGTCCCAGAAGTCGACGTCAAGCCAAAACCGGGTGATAGGCAAAGTCATGGCAGCTATCAGAAAAATATTTAAAAAAATTTTATGTATGTGTTTTGAAAATTATAGGTCTTGGAAAAAGATATAGAAATTTCACACCCTACGGCAGTCTGTCAACTCCTGTTACTACAAATATTAACTTTTTTTGGATTTTATTTTTACAATGTAATGATGAATAATGCATCTTCAACCTTACTGCCAACTTTTCTCGTTCAGGAAAAATTGCCACTTATTTCCCAACCAAGTATTCCAAAGTAAAACTTTGCTCAACTTTAACTGGCTGTACTGGAAAAAATGTACTACGAGAGTTTGGCAAGTAACCTTAAAAGTTGGCGCATTTAATAAGGATTCCAAAATGGTATAACACTTAGAAGATTACGCGTTAACTTATGCACAATTTTTATTTGAAGAAAAACTGATGAAAATTTTTCAAAATTTCCTAATTGAACAACGATTATGAAAACGCACAAGGACCCTTAAGGATTACTCTTTGCACAACAGTGGGCGTCAAAATGCTGCTGATGATGATTTACCTTTACAGCAAATGCTCAAACTGTTTTCCTTCAGCCGCAATAGACGCTCGACATTCTCTTAAAAAAGATCGGGTTATTAAACTAGCGAATCCACGGTTACTAACATACTCAGCTGCTTCCAATAGTCTTTGCCGTAGCTCAGCTACATTTTGAATCGGCTTGAAATACACTTTTTCTTTTACAGTACCCCAGTAAAAAAATCTAAAGGATTCAAATCAGGTGACCGGGCTGGCCACGGTATTGTACCAGACCGCCTTATCCATCTGCCTGGAAAGTTTTGATCGAGATACTCTCTCACTGAGAGTGCATAGTGCGCTGGACAGCCATCCACGGTTCTTTGAAAAAAAATTATTGTCAGATGAGACCACATTTAAGAAAGATGGGTACATGAAACTGCATAACTTACACCAGTGGCACGTAGCAAACGCAAATTTGATGAGAGAAGATAAATCTCAATATCGCTTCAAGATAAACCATTGGACAGGAATTTTAAATGGTAAAATAATCGGTCCGTTTGAGTTCCCAGAGACTTTGACTGCTGAAGTTTATTTGGATTATTTGTAAAATCATGTACAAAATTTATTGGTGGACGTGCCACTGAGTATTTACAGGGACATGTGGTTTCAGCATGATGGCTGCCCAGCGCACTATGCACTCTCAAAACTTTCCTGGTACAATACCGTGGCCAGCCCGATCACCTAATTTGAATCCTTTAGATTTTTTTACTGGGGAACTGTAAAAGAAAAAGTGTATTTCAAGCCGATTCAAAATGTAGCTGAGCTACGGCAAAGACTATTGGAAGCAGCTGAGTTTGTTAATAACCGTGGATTCGCTCGTTTAATAACCCGATCTTTTTTAAGAGAATGTCGAGCGTGTATTGCGGCTGAAGGAAAACAGTTTGAGCATTTGCTGTAAAGGTAAATCATCATCAGCAGCATTTTGACGCCCACTGTTGTGCAAACAGTAATCCTTAAGGGTCCTTGTGCGTTTTCATAATCGTTGTTCAATTAGGAAATTTTGAAAAATTTTCATCAGTTTTTCTTCAAATAAAAATTGTGCATAAGTTAACGCGTAATCTTCTAAGTGTTATACCATTTTGGAATCCTTATTAAATGCGCCAACTTTTAAGGTTACTTGCCAAACTCTCGTAGTACATTTTTTCCAGTACAGGCTGTTAAAGTTGAGCAAAGTTTTACTTTGGAATACTTGGTTGGGAAATAAGTGGCAATTTTTCCTGAACGAGAAAAGTTGGCAGTAAGGTTGAGACACCAGTTTGAAGATGCATTATTCATCATTACATTGTAAAAATAAAATCCAAAAAAAGTTAATATTTGTAGTAACCGGAGTTGACAGACTGCCGTAGGGTGTGAAATTTCTATATCTTTTTCAAAGACCTATAATTTTCAAAACACATACATAAAATTTTTTTAAATATTTTTCTGATAGCTGTTATGACTTTGCCTATCACCCGGTTTCGGCTTGATGTCGAAATTGTTTTAAGTCTTTGGGTACGTACTCATACAATTCTGTAAACAAGTAGAGAAAATATCGCTTCGTTATGGTCTTTGAGTTTTATATAGTATCAAAACTATTATACCTACATAGTTAATTTTGAGTATATCATTCAAACAGACATTAAATAAAAGAAGGCCTCGCCACATGACCCATTGCGAATATTCGACCCATCTGGATATGAATCTGCTGCCATCTAGATCACTTTCATGGACCTTGGTGACTCATCCTGGAAAACGCTGGAACGTTTCTCGACGCGTCGATAGAGCAATAAGAAGCTGACCAGATCGCGGAAGCAGTCAGTCGCACTAGGGACAGTGAACGAACAGCGACCGACGCGTCAACATAGACCAGTCAACATAGTTATAAATATGTCATAAATTAGTAGCAAGTGTTATAAAGGTGCAGAGTAATAAATCAGACTTCGGACAGTGAAAAAGGTGTTTCCGATACAATGTTATGTAAAATCAAAGAGTGTGGAAGTGAATGACGCGAAAACTGCTAAACGGATCTGGATGACGTTCGGTACAGGGATGGATTGTGGTTCGGAATAGCACATATGCTACCTTTTTTCCCGGAAAATAATTTTGAAATGTCAATTTCACGAATTAGTGCCCAGGCAGCTTAATGGAATCTGACATGAGGTATCCAAAATGAGCTAGGGTATATAAATAGCTATAAAGATCGTGCATTTATTTTTCATTTTGATACTCGTTTCCCTAAGGTAAATCGTCTTGAATTAATATAATATTGTGCGTAAATATTCATTGGGTAAGGATACCTCAAGGTGAAGAAGATCAGGTAATACTTGTTGTGATTCTGGTAACACATTCGATATTAATTTATTGCTGAATTTAATTATAATAGGAAAGATAAAAGTAACTAATGCATTACTTTCAATATTGAATTTGCGAAACGAATGACCGTTTCCAAGCGGGTGACGCCACGGGTTTAGGCCAGTAAACTTATAACCCTACACCTTTGGTTAGCTATTTCAACTCTTATGAGAGATTGTTTGTATACCTTTGATCCATAAACTTGTAAGCTGTCAAAGTAGACATAGAACCACAAGCAGTTGAAACAATAGAATGCTTCATTACCTGATGATCAAATTCATTCTTGTCAAAATGGTAACTCAAATTCAATCTTCATGCATTCACCGATTGTAATTCCATCTTCCGTTAGAAAACTAACCTAACAACCTCTTTATATTAGAACGCCTGTCGCGAAAGGGTTAAGTACCCATTTCCAAGGTAAATCAATTTTCTAAGACAAGCAGTTAAGCAAGAGGTTATGGTACGGAATATCACTCACCCCTGAGAGTATCACCGTTAGAAGTATGTATCGGATTAAGTAGGCGCATAAAGGTGAAAATCTGAGCTTAATGGAAGAAAGTTATAATCCTATATAGTTCAGTCAGAAGAGGGTTATTTATAAATTCAGATAACGATACCAATGCAAGACGTTCAAACTCATCTTTGACATACATACATTCTGTTAACATCGCACACAGCTAGCCTAGTGACAATAACATCTTTGAGGTCCATGTCGCTAAATGTAAAAATAAAATGTTTTCGTATCCCCCATGGTTCACACGTGAGATTATACTTAATATCAAGAAGAAGGACATAGCAAGAATGAACTGGAAATGTGACGGTACTAAGTTTTCTTATGATCTGTTCAGTAATTTTAGGAAGCTCATTTGAACTGAAGTGTTTCCATTTGTTTTTCGCTGATGACCTTAAAATCTGCACGTCAGTCAAGACAGTCGAGGATTGCGTCATGTTGCAAGATGACTTAGCTCTAATTTCGTCATGGTGTTCACGAAACTGTCTCAGTCTGAATGTTTCGAAATGTAAAGTTATGACTTATACAAGAAAAGTTAACTATTTAATTTATGATAATTATAACATCAATGGTCAGGTTATAGACAGATGCACCTCTTATAGAGACCTTGGAGTGACTTTTGATAGTAAGCTAACGTTTACTGAGCATATACTCAATATCTCGTCGGCTGCCACTCGACTACTTGGTTTCTGTATCAAAAACTGGAAGGGTTTCTCCAATGTTGATACATTAATGACTTGATTTTTTACTTTTGTCAGGAGCAAGTTGGAGTATGCGACTCTGATCTGGTCTCCTATATACCAAAATTCTGTCGTGATCCTTGAGGCCATTCAACGTAAAGCTTTAAAGTATTTTCACCTTAAATGCACAGGTTCTTATCCAGAAAGAGGTTGTGACCATAGTGCCCTATTAGAGTTTTTCAATTTGGATTAACTGCCAATAAGACGAAACATATTTGCTTTGTCGTTTTTGTATGGGCTCATTCACAATAAAATTGACTGTCAAAATTTACTTGAAAAAATATGTTTCCGCGTTCCAGGGCTAGGGAGTCGACAACGAACGGCATTCTATTGTCAAGCTGGCCGTACAAATGTTATGACAAAATCGTCAATTAATCTCATGTGCTGCGTCATGAACAGTGTTACTGAATCGTCTGATATTTACAGTGACAGTTGTGCATCGATTATTAACTGCTCAATCTTATTGAGAATGTGTGATACTATAGACTTAAGTCCAAGAACCATGTCTCTTTAATTGTTATATTTTTTCAGCATTTCCTGTAATTGGGTTTCACCTGGTGGAAATAAATAAATAAATAAACTAGGTATCTGAATATCTCGAAACTGTTTGGGCCCGAAAGTCGATTTGTTATCATCACACACAGCTAGCTTAGTAGTAACTAAATAGCTGAATATCTCGAAATTTTTTCATCCCGAAAGTCGATTTGTCGATGTCACATGCTACACGAATGTTTTTTTGGATCTACATCTTCATTCGAGAAAATCTTGCAAAGCTAAGATCTATGACAACGAATGACAGGTTCGAGACTCATTTATTATTTTTCTCAAACATACAAGGTGAGTTTTCAGTGTAATCTTCGTCGATAGCTCCTTTACCACACACAGTATGAAAAAAGTTATTACAAAGCGTGTTGACAGTATGCTCTTTACCTGAAAAAAATTTGCATCTATACAGGATGATTATTAGCCACGTGATGACCGAAATATGCATTTTTTTCAATGTAAAGTTCTAGATATTAACAAAATGTTCATTACAAGTTACCACAAATGGAAAAATAAAGGGATACTAAGTCATGAGATTTGATATTTGGAAAAATATTTTGGTTCATTTGCCTCTCTGACCATGCTATGAGAGGTCAATATCCGTCCGTAATAGCTTATACTCCGATCCGTACAACGCGCAAAAAGTAGAGTGAGCTGTAAAACACGACATCCTACACGGTCGTTTCTTCTATACTCAGATCGTAAATATCATCCTTTTATAAAAATCGAGGCAATTTCACATCGCCTGGCTTCCAGTCGTTGACTAATGATACACGTAATAATCCGGAAATATATATTGTAGCCTTCATGAAAAATGCATTGGAAAGATTGATTTCGTGTTTGTTGACCTTTTGCAAAGAAATTCGCTATTCTCATAAGATTCGATCATCTGGTTACTGATTCATTGTAGTTGAAAAGCACAGGATAAGTTTCTAGCTAATGTAGCTATTCTCTTGTTTCATTCTGGTCACTGTATGTGTTCATTACCTTTAAGTAGGCTTGCAAAAATGGCCTTAGAGCTAAATAAGTAATCTGAAATCTTATCGATCGAACAAAAGCTTATCCTTTGATTTATCCAAGGATGGGTGTTCAAAAATAATAGCGAGCTGCTAGTGCGGTTACCTTCTTTAGTACAGCATTATTCGGGTGAATTTAAATGTCGAGGCATGCTCAGTTCATTATTTTTATCTTCGACAACTTTGAAAATGTAATGAATAGTTCTCACATACATGTTCGGCTATGTGTACAACGACGAGAATGCTTTTACCTAGGAAAGCTGTTATTATTGTAAAATCGTCCCTGTTTTGTTGATCTTTCTTAATATACCAAATTTTGCAGCAAGCTTTCTTTATATTCCAAGTTCCAAGTATTGAGCTACGACGATTGCTACAAACAACCTTCTTCGCGGATAATTGCACTGGAAAGTATTCTAGAAAAGACTTCGGGAGTGATACGAATAGACACATATTAACGAATCAGTATCACTGTATATGAGATTATCCAATTTTCATATGGACGGTGGTATGGTCTTATTGTCAATTTTTATGTCAGCGGTAACTTTTTACACAAAAGCAACAGCATATACAGGGTGGCGCATCGAAAACGAAACAGACGCATTTACTGGCAGCTCAGTTGGCCATTCAATGGTACCTCTTCTACCAATCCATCGATCTGGAAACGTCTGATCTAAATATTGTCGTACGCGTAATGCGTAATGTGGTGGGGCACCATCCTCTTGGAACAACAACCTAATCGCAATGTACCGCCGATCATTCTGATTTTCAATTATGGCTGTTAATGCAGGATCTATGGCGTCTTCCAGTAATTCCAAATACATTTCACCGGTCAAATTTCCAGGTAAGAAAAAATATCAGCCCAAACATTTAATTTTTGTGGCTGCTGTGTATGAACCTGATGATAAATTCTGGGATTAGAATCGGACCAATATCCGCAGTTATGACGATTTACTACGCCATTTAAGAAAAAGGAACATTCGTCGGAAAAGCAAGTGTTGAATAGAGAATGTTCATCATTTATAATTCGTTCACTCATATCTTCACAAAATTGTAATCGCCGATCAAAATCGTCTTCATTAAGTTCTTGTACCGGGTGAATTTTATACGGATGAAAACTATGGGCCTTTAGAATCCGTTGGACAGTATGTCGACTAACACCACACACAGTCTCCAATTTGCGGGTTCTTAACGTAGGATCTACATAAACTTGCCCTAAAACCTCCACTTCTATTGCTTCGTTCCTTATGGGATCTTCAATGTTGCGTTTTTTATTGGCGACTGACCCAGTTCTATTAGCGCACTGATTATTTCCGAAAAATATTTTGATAATTTCAACTCTTGTAATGTAATTGCAGCTCCTGATGATGATGGCAAAGTCCATTGAAAGCTACAGATAATAAAAAAAGTATAAAGAGTCCTTTTTGCTTAAATTTTTGTCGAAGTACCCAACAAAAGGCGGAAGCTTTAATTTTTCACCTAGCTGGTCTAGACGACAATGACCACGTCTCAATATATATACATATATATATATATATATATATATATCAGTTTTTTGTAATTTATAACAAGGAAAAGCACGCTTGTCTGCAGCATGACAGTTTTTCAGCCCATATTTCAACGATGATACTGTTTTTAG